TTTAGAATAACAGCACACACAGACAACACCAGACTGCTAAATGTTTGGAATCTCTAACGAAAAGAACTACTGTGAATGACTTAAAAGAGATTACTTCAAATCAATGATGCTACAATTACTACTCAGTCATAACAGATTGATTAGTTTGTATTTTCTTTGTAACATGTACATCGATTTGTACATTTGCAGCAACATTTGAATGTGAATCAATGCCTACACCTTCTAATTGATACTTAATTGATTGATTGTATAAAGGACTTAGAAGGTTCTGGTTTGAAAACTACTGTAAACCTTGTAATGTAGAAGACCGTTGATAGTGGAAAACCACCATAAGTGGAACACTGTTCAAAGTCCAGTTGCTCACCAACTTAACGTAAAATGAACTTGTGTAAGTGGAACACCTCCTCAATGGAACATTATTTTGGGATACCAGGTGTTCTACGTACTGTTTTAAAGTAGTATTTTCATCATATACTAGTCTTGTTTCAAGCCTTTGTGGCAAGCGACTTTATGCAAGACTACCTATCTTCCAAGCATGTGACATTTTCCATGTAAGAAAACTACACTGACTACAAGTGCTAAGTTTCCCATTTAAACAAAACCAGATTTGGGGTCAAGCGAGAATGTATGGTTTTTAAAGTGTACCCACGAGAAAAATGCAACAGTGGTCATGTTTTGAAATGCAAAATAGAGTCAAAAACAGTGAAATCAACAATGAAGAAATAAAATAGTCATAAAGTGAACACTCTAAATCATACAGAAATGCAATAAAATCAGAGACTTTATTCAAATTTTAGAGAGAAATTGAGTGGAATAAGGATGATGGGAACGATGTTGTTGGGACGAGAGCTTCTGTAAAGGTTAAAGTAATGTTAGCATAACTAAGCCAGGGGTGATGAGAGCTTGATGGATTTGACCCTCTGTAACACAGACATCAGAAGAAGTCTGCTGACATTCATTGCCCAGAAACGGGGACCATCTCACAATTGAATTTCACGAAATCATGTCATTTTTGGGAAATTGCCAAAAAGATCAATCTGAGGCGCACACTATAGATAATTGTGGAAGACAGAAAGTTGGTTCATTGAGAAGCACAAAAACTTATTTCAAAAAGATTCAACAATATTGTTTAATAGTATGTGGTAACATGTACCAAGGGCATTGTCACTTGTTAGGTATAAGGTGAACTTAATCCTGTAAGATAGTGACTATAGAAATTAAAAATATTCATTTTTAGGATTGAGATAGTTTTATGAAAATGTGACATAATACCAAAATTGACCAAATGTAAAGATGAAATAAAAATTTGAATTTATGGAAACATTTCAGATTTATTTTTATCATCTCCATCAAGCCACTTTTTTCAGAATGGTAATTTTTCATTGACTTGACATCTTATTTTGGCCTATCAAAATGTTCATATTAACGTTGAAGAATTTTTTTACGACGATCATGTTTTAAAGTTCAAAATATGGTAGCAAATTATGAAATCAGCGAGGAATAAAACAAACAGACATATAGTTAATATCCTAAATTGTAAAGAAATACAAGAAAATCAGAAACTTCCTTCAACATTTAGAGAGAAACGGCATGAAAAAGGCATGGAAAAGGAGAAATTTTTGGCATGGGTAAGTCAATTGATCAACAGAACAAAAGCTATGATCATTAATTTCAGAAGTTTCTTTTGCAGAGATATCTGTTAATCATGAAACTGTCACTTGCAGAAAACTTGATTAGGACGTTCCCTAGTCCTCGGAGATATTCATTTTGACATCTTTAGTTTTGCTATTATTCTGTAGCTGCCACATAATTGCCTTTGATATCATAGATAATTCACTTGTTGTCTTTTCGCTGGTAAATAAATCTATCCAGGGAGTTTAAACTCCATGTCAATAGCCACGATGTATCCTATCTTTAGCTCATCAGAATTTCTTGTTTGTGACAATTCATGTGTGAGACGTATTCTTTAGTTTTTATGAGGATTTTGAATTTTATCAGATAATGTTGTGAACTAATTAAAATGGCAATGTCCAAATTAGACCCAATCAAGAGAGTATTGATTATAATGAAATTCAAAATGCAGTTTTTTAATTTTGATTTTTAATTTAATTTCATGAATATTTTTATCAAACAATTTAGGGTTAATAGTTAGTTCAAAGGTTTTGACTTAACTTAAACCATCAATTTGGTTATTTTACATTTGTCTAATATACACTCATTGTGCCTCCTGATATGCACAATTTGTGTAATCAACTAAAATGGGTCTCAATTGGCTCTTTCTCCCGCAAGTAGCTTAGGGATCTTGATGTGACGTTTAATTTTACTTTACCTCATTACACTGAACTATCATTTGACATTTCTCTAAAGGCGGAATATACTTTGAAGCTTATCAAATATACGATCTAGAGGTTAAAAAATGACTCTCAAAGCAGACTTTATTGTTGAAAGTCAAAATTTCGATAATATATTGTAATATTTGTAGTATCATACATTTTATATCATTTCTCATCCTTGCATCTCTCATGGTATAACCTATGATTAACTTGTACATTTTGGCAAAACATAAAGTACAAAGTTATATTATGAGTATTGCTTTCAAAACTCAAAATTATGGGACAAAAGTTCAAAACAAACACAGCCAAATATAAATTAGAAGTTTGAATACATGTATATGTGTACATTTTTCACCATGAAACAATCTAATGTTTTGGAAAAGATGAACCCAGTGATCCCAGCATTAGGTTACATAAACCCATGCCAAAAATTTCTCTGCTCATGCCTATTTCACTCGATTTCTCTCTAAAATTTGAATGAAGCGACTCATTTTCTGCCATATCTATACAATTTAGAGTGTTCACTACATGTCTGTTTACTTTAATCCTTGCCGATTTCACTCTTTTCCACTCAAATTTGCATTTTAAAACATAACCATTTTGGTATTTTTCTCCAGAGGCACCTAACTGTTTCAAGTAGATTCATAAAAGGTTATGATGGTTTGAGACCCCATGCACAGGGACTGTTCAATTGTGACTAAATTATATCTGACTGTTTTTAAATGTAAAAAATATGTTTCTGCCCACTTAGCTTTTCAAGGGTCTTATAAAGGGATGTTAAAATCAACATCATGTATAACATGTATTATATACATGCTGACAGCCTACCAGATCAAGTAAATACATATTTTTTATAGTTAGAGCCCATTCCAAAATATTCATTGTACATTCCTTTTTTCTTTGGTAAAAACTATGTTTATGTTGATTACATGTCTCCACATTCTCAAACTAAGGGCATCTCTCTGCCTAACATGTAAATAAAGAAAAGAAACTGAGATAAGGCTGTAATCTCTTATGATGATGTTTCTTGATAAACTTCTGAAGGCCTGATCACCCCCTCTCTTCCGCTTGCACTGTTATCATTTTCATTGTTGCCATCATCATCATTGTCATTGTTGTTGGTATTAGGAAAATGTGATGTCATATTTAAGTACATGTAGACTGTATTTAGCAATTCAACCAAGCAAGCAACCAACAAACCAACCAACCAACCAACTAACCAACCAACCAACCATAACCCACCTATCAACCAACCAATCAGCCACAAGGCCATGAAATAAGTCTGTTGGTAAGATCCAAGCTAGACAAGCTCCTAGCCTCTAGTCTTGATTTCAGTTCTTCAAATCATTACAAATATATAGAAAAAAATCAAAATCAAAAAGAAAACTGGAGCCAGTCAAGATAGCTTCAGGCCGGAAATAGTTCCGTCAATTGCTACAATCAAACTTCTATTTATCAGAACAAAGCAATAAAATTGACATTGATAATAGAAAACAGTTATTACTTGAACTGTGTAAATTGATTAAAAACAAGTTTTCTATTTGATATTTACTCTAGATTAATGGGGAATTGGCTATTCAGCAGATAAACCCTTTGAAAATGATGATATTACCAATCCGATACAATCAGAATATCAAAAGTCCCAATACAAGAAGATCTTTCTACTGAGACCTTTATTGCTTCTATGATTGGTTATGCGGTAATGTGTTAAAACTAGTCCAATAATTTTACAAAAAATGAGGTGCGTGGACGATTTGAAGGATGGGATTCTACACCAAGGGCCAGTCTCTTGAGACCACTTTACATATGGGATGGTAATCTGAAAAAGATTTGTAGTTTATCTGGCCATGGCATAGAACATTATTCTCTTATGTTCAGATTGAAAATCTTGAAGGCATTTCTGAACTATCTATAGATATTAGACTATTACTTCAGTATAAACAGATACAGTTCCTATATAATTGCTAGTATGGGACATGGTCAAACGATCTCAGACCATGCCAGTATTATTTCATTTAGAACCAATAGCATATCATTCAGAAAAGCCTTAAACAGAGGAACATACAAAAATAAACTCTGTACGCTGCTATTTCTCAATAAAATTTAAAGAAGTACTTTATTTTTTTGGCATTTCTATATAATTTAGAGTGTTAGCTACATGCTTGTTCACTTTATTTTTCAGCAATTCCTTTCTTTTCCTCTCTATATTACATTTAAAAACGTGACCATCATGCTGTTCTTTGAAAATATGGTATAACGTAAGGATGGTATGCTGTATGGATGGTTGATATGTCTGTTTTTTTGGATTGGGAAATAAATGTGATGATTAGACTCTTAGTTTGGGTATAAGTCTCCAAACATTCTAAGATATGAAAGTAATTTTATCTAGTTTCTATAAATGGAGGTTCATCCTTTGGAGCTATCATGATTTAGATCATAAACTTTATAAAATCTATACGGTTCAAGTTTGGTTCAATCCTAAGTCATTTACTTTGTTTAGAATATTTCTTCAAGATCAGGAATTTTTTTTTCATCATTTTCATCTTCCATATCATTTTCGTATTATTCTTTATTTGTTTTATGGCGTTGATAAAAATGTAACAAAAATCAGAAAATATTAAGTACTGTATGTTCGAAATTCAGAATGGTATATTATTGTACTTGCAGTGCTGTCTCTTAGTCAGGCAACATGTCCGGAGGATGTCCCCGGTGAGAGCCAGGAATGTATGGCGGAGTATAGCGAATCATTACGAGTTCGAGAGGAGAGAATGCAAAATTTCTTCACAGGGACTGACCCAGAAACAATAAGATACATTTGTTCAAAATTAGCTGATGGGAGCCAATGTGTGCGCAGATTGAGGCAAGATTGCCCAAAACATAAACACGCAGATATCAGCGGTGCTCTCACCAATATTCCAAGTATATTACCAATATGTAGTTATACCCAATTTTATGAAAGTAAGTACTATTTAATATTCCATATACTCGATCTGGGTGACCTGGGAATTAAATAAACAAAAAACAGAAGTTAGCCAGATTCTTAAATAAACAAATCCGTCATTCATTTTTTATTTTTAAAACATAAACGTATAATTTTCAAATTATTGACAAATTGTATGTTTTGATACATCGTAGATCACAAACTATAATTTACTTCTCAAACTTCTATTTTGAATTTTAAATAACACGTGAAAAGGGAATTACTAATATGACAATTGGAGAAATGATGTTGACCCCATTTTAGTGACTCAATTAAAGGTTACTAAAATATTTCAGTTGCCAAAAGGAATCAATAGAAAATAAAACCATCTCCTTATTCAAGACCTCAGTTTATATTTTCTCAAAGTTGAAAATGACAAGTTTTGTTAAAATGAGCTTCTCAGTTCATCAAAATTGAATGATTTAAAGGGTTCAGTCAAGAATCTTTATCTTAAAACAACCTGTATGCTATAAATATATAAATAGTCAAACAATCAGATTAACTTTTAATGAACAAGACCCCTTAAGCAATAAGGAGTTATGAATTCTGTTTATTGAAAATCTCCACATCTACAAATGCCCAAAATTAAAGTGTCAAAATTTATATTGAAAAAAAGACAATTTTTCTTCTAGTTATCAACTTATTTCTTTAATTGCATCAAATTAAAACATTGTGATGAATAAAAATTATATCGAATTTTTCAGTATATGCTAGGCATCAGAGCTGTTATAGGAGGATAGAGGGCAGCAATACTTGCTGGGATGTATATTTACACAACCGAGAACCTTTAATGCCGCAAGTCTTTAATGGACAAGAACGTGCAATAGCTCAAATATGCGGGTAAGTATCATTTACTTTTTTTGTTCAATCGAGTAACCTTTTTGAAGGAGAAACTTCTTCCAAGGAGAAATCTCTCTGAAGGAGAAATTTTCTTGAAGGAGAAAACTTTTCTGGAGAAATTTCTCGGAAGGAGATACCTATTCGAAGGGGAAATCCCTTTAAAGGAGAACCTTATCGAAGGAGAAATCTCTTTGAAGGAGAGGTTTCTCAATTCAGAAACATATGAGTACATTGACTATGAAACATGGAGATACAATATCAAGGCTTTTTATACCAAAAAGAGAAATATACATAAGGTGAAATGAATATACTGTTAGATAAGATTTAAACATTAACATAGATATAAATAAGAAAAAATTGTGAAAGTCAAAACCACCCACTAGGTGACATGTATTGTGACTTACAAATATATAACCCAATAAATTATTAAAGTTAACATCTTTTAAAATAAGCCATTATTTACTTTTTTTAAAGTAGGTGTTTGAACCTGAATTTACTGTGAAAACTAAATGTAATGAAGATACGTATCACACTTGATCACTTTGTCAAACAAAATAAAGATAAAAATCATTTGGTTATTTTAAAATATAACTCATTATTTTGCAATGTAAGTGCTTGGCGCAATTTATTAAAGGTTCTATTTTATATAGAATTTTATATTCCTTAAAGGCTCAACAGTAACTCATACTTTATAAACATATCATATTCTTAAAGGATCTTCTTTAACTCCACACACCTTAACTTGACCATTACAATGATAATTCAGTTGCAAAAACAGTAAAACCTGTATATTTGTCCACCTCTCTTATTTGAATACATCTTAATCTGAATGTTTTTGTTGGCCCCATTTTAGTCTACCATAGACTTCCAAATTAAAAAACTCAAAATATGAACACCTGCCAATTGCAAAAACTCATGACCAGTCCCAAAGATGTTTAAATCAGCAAGTTTTACTGGAGTGCATTACGTCTCAATAGAGCCTTCAAGATATTAATTCACCATATGCCTTTTATTGCAGATATGCCTATACATTATTAGAGTGTGTCAAAAAGCAGGTTGACAGACATTGTGGGGAAGAAGCCGCTTCTCTCATGGACATCTTAGTGAAATCATCAACTAAAGTTGGAGATCTATGTCAATTTATAAATCCAAATGCCGTCACAACTACACAGGTAAGTTTTGATATTTTTTGCCAAAGCTTATCATTACTGTCTTACATTAAGCCTATAACTAGCTAGTGCCTGCCCCCACCCTTCCTTTTATGGGCCAAAAAATTGAGGCCCTAAAAGTTTTAGGGCCAAAAATCTGCTTCTTCCCACATTTTTTGGGGCTATTTGTAAGACATTTTCAGATTTGAGGTTCACATTTTTTGCCACCTCCTGATTTTCAGATCAGCCCCTGTTAACTTTGCACTAAGCCCATGTATGTGTTCATATTTTACATGTAGGCGTTTATTATTTCTAGTTTTAGTGTATATCCTTTATATAGCATCATTTAGGTGTTTAGTATTTCAAGTTTTACTGTATATCCTTTATATAGCATCATTTAGGTGTTTACTATTTCAAGTTTTACTGTATACCCTTTATATAGCATCATTTAGGTGTTTACTATTTCAAGTTTTACTGTATATCCTGTACATGTAACATCAAGTAGGTTTCCCATTGCTATCTTAGAGCCAAGATAAGACCTGTAACTAGCCCTAAGCCTAGCAAAATAGCATTTTACTTGATAGGATATCTTAGAAAATGATAAGTTGAACTATATATGAGATAAATTAAACAGGCTCCAGATCATGCAAAAACAACCTTCCAGAAATCACTCAGATTATTCAGGAAAATCGAGCTTTTATTATGAAAAATGATGAGAAAGAATCAAAATTTAACACCTTTAAGGTATTATACCTATTGTCCTTTATTCAGAGCCACATTTTGAAGTGATGCAAGTAGGAAAATCTGACCACTGTTTTAAGAGTTATAATCTATAGCACATTTAAGAGGAATGATGTAAGTATATGATAAGAGTGCTAATTGATTTCCAAGTTTGTCTAGACATTGATTGATAAAGGACACTCAAAGATGCATTTGAGATTATTAAGAATTTGTCAAGCAGAAAGACCGAGCACAGTAGATGGATGTTTTTGATCTGGTCCCATCAAAATAAAAAACAATATGAAAATATATGTGTTTATCAACCACAGATATTCAATCTAAAAGGATCTATAATTGAAGATCTTCCTTGTATCCCAATATGAAAATATCAGAGATGTCATGTTTTGAAATGCAAAATAGAGTGGAAAAGAGTGAAATTTGCAAGGAATAAAGTAAATGGACATGTAGTGAACATTACAAACTGTTGAGAAATGCCGGAAAATCAGACAATTTATTCAAATTTTAGAGAGAAATTGAGTGGAATATGAATGACTACAGAGAAATTTTGTGCAAGTGTTACAGACGGCACCTGACTTTAGAGTCAAAATAACTGAGTATTTACCAAACATTTAGGCCTACTGCAGAATACAATACTCTTGATTTGAGATGAAATGATGGCAAAAACCCTCCTTTCTTTTTTATGAAGCCTAATTGTGAATCAACAATGAGTTCACATGTTAGCATATCTTTAGCCAGACTTTCAACAATCTGTTTCACATCCAGTTCCACCCCAACTCAGTCTGAGATGTCATCATCATTGAATGGTAGCAAATCCCCAACTCAGTCTGAGATTTCATCATCATTGAATGGTATTACACATAAGCAACAGTTATGCAATCGAATACAAGTTACTGTTTGAAAATAACTGCTCTGATGTTCACCAATTGACAAAATTAAGAATATCTATGGCCTTTCAAAAAGCCCCACAAGTCGCTTGAAAACCCAAGTGTCTAAAGAAGGCCCACTAGTCCCTTTGAACTCAAAGGTTTCTTGAAAGCCCCAGAGTCTATTAGGCCAAAAGTCTCTAGATGGCCCATGAGTCTCTAGAGAGCCCATGGTAGGATTAACAGTAACTCACTGAATGAATTCTGGTAATCGACAATAACATTCCTGGTAAATCTCATAAATGTTACCAGATTGGTGATACTGATATTACCACCAGGCTCTCTTGTTTGTAGTGATTGTAAGACTGTAGAGCAATATAAAAGCCACATGCCAATGGTGAAGTGTAGACAAGGAGTACATTAGTAGTAGTATCTGAAGAACAAATGAACCTAAATGATGGGAAGAGAACTTCATGATGAGCTAATTATATTGAAGTTATTCTCTACTATACGACTGCTTTGAGGGAAAGGAAAAGTTACGAGACAAAAACAAAATATGATACATCATATCTAGCCAGTATTTGAAAAACATAACTCACATCCATATCTCTCATGGAATTCATATTTCCTAACATACACATTGGTAGATCTGGGGGGAGGCCATGGACCGAGAAAAAAGAATTTTAATTTTTGGCCCAAAACCCGATTACTGGGACTTTTTAAAATTTTTGCCCAAATTATCAAGAAAATGGGCCTTGAATTTGAGCCCACTTTTTGGTTTTAGGGGCCCAAAAATTTAGACTTGAAATGTGGGCCCCTGCGTGGGGGCAATGATTATGGTCTTTTGACACTTTTATTTCACAACAAGCAGTATGCTGAAAACTGACTGAATTCAAAATAGAAGTCTCTGTATTCATGGTAACTGTAATATTTTCCTGTTTACCATTCCATCTTCTGATATTACTGTATTCCACTATTTGTGGATAAGTTGGTCTCTAATAGTTACACAATCCTTTCTTGTGTTTACATACACAGCAGGTTACCATGGTAACAGTGAATGTTTCCTGGCTTCTTGTTAACGATCTGTTTATTCTAATCATAGTGGTTTTGTTCAGTGATTACTGATTAGCATTCTCCATTTGCATTGATATCTCTCTGCTACATACGGAAACACTATAAGAAAAGAATACCAAAACTATGCCTGGAGGATGGCAGATTAGGAGTTCTAGGGGATAAATTGTTTCTCTAAATGAGGCATAGTTATCTTGAAGGGATTATGGATCATCATGATTTGTGTTTGAATAACTTTGATATGTGATATCTTTTTTGTTGATTGCTAAAGTACCCGTCACATTAGCCGTGTGGCTCAATTTTTGTACTTGGTGAGATGGGCGGGATATCCCAAAAATGTTACACGTTGACAATGTCTGTTGAATCCATCATTCCATGGCATGGCTTTTTTGTCAAGCGTCCCAACAGTTCTGACAATTCTTGAATTTTTAAGGTTATCCCCTTTTCAAGGAAAAAGAGGCTTGTAAGAGGAACATACATTGGACCCTTTTTTAAAAGATTGCTTCTCCACAACTTAGATAATTCCTTTAACTTGAGAATGATTTATGTCTCCAAAATATTATGTATACTCGTAAATGAACTTCAAAAATCGTGTTTTCATAATTTTGTATTTATTCTAGTCCTTTAAGTGAAGACTAAACTGTTGGAATTTAATCCCTTGGATAAGAATGGCATTTCCTGGTAAAAGATGCCTGTAGGGTACAGCATCTTAAAGATGTGTTTTGTCCCCATAAATTATATTTAATAATGTTACTAAGGTAACTGGATCGCAAAGACGCCCCTAATCCATGAAGAGATCAGGAAAAACAAGATATCCCAGGAAAACAATTTTTTGCAATCATGCCTTTTTCACTTCATTTCTCTATAATGTTTGAATAAATTCTCTGATTTTCTATAATTTTTGTACAATAAGGAGTGTTAAGAACTTGTTTACTTTATTTCTTGTTTATTTCACTCTTTTTGCTTTGTTTTCCATATCAAAACATCATCACCATGACATTTATCATAAGGGAAATTTCACTTAATCCAAGTTGCTATAAATTAATGGGAGAATAATCTAATTATTAAGGAACCATGATGCGCTGAAGTTCTTAGTTAAATGTTTCTATGCTACCTATGCTGTATCTTTGATAAATAAAGCAGTAACCATCCTTTAGGGTTAGATAAGCGCAATGTAGTTGATACACGCCATATGTGAAGATCAGATGATGTTCAATATTGCTGGTTGTTAACAGTTTTCTGCAGGTGTAATAAATTTTTTTTCAACATAACTGTAAGCTTTCATTTTGGTCCATAATGCCCAGTGTGTGTGTGGTATTTCTTCATTTGATCCCATGTGAAATTCACATCATTCAAAAAGGGGTCTTATATGGTAGAGATTTTCATGTAGGTCAACGAGCACAGGAAAATAATGATTCCTTGGTGACATCTATTCCTTTCAAATATCTATTTGTTCCTGACATGTTTGAGCATTCGGGGGGGGGGGGGGGGGGGGGCGGGGGCATTGTCTGTCCAAACACCTCATGTTATTTTGATATGATATTTTGGATGTACAAAAATGTGTAATACATGTACACATTCAAAATTGCTTTGTACAGTATTGTTATTTCATTTAAATAAGAAATATAAGAGGGGCTGGTGACCATTTCAACTATAATATAAATAAATAAACCATTGTGTATCCTAAAGAGAAAGAAGCTCTGATATATCTTGATAATTTCTACTATTCAATTACTATTACAACTTCATTGTTTTTTTCATTGTATTTCATTGTTGGTTACAGAGGCATAGCAAGACTAGTGTCTGAAAATAGACAAGGCAAATAGTTATAGGGGAGGAAAATTTGTGATGAAAGAGAACATGTATATTATGCTTAAACATGTATTATACATGTTTATAATTTTAGTAAAACTCATAATTTTGGTGAGGCATTCTGCCTCTCATGCCTCATTCCTTGCCACATCCATATTGTACAAAACTGAAACATTATTTAATATTGTCTATCTTCTTTCTTCTTCCAGAGACCTATCAAAACGGAAGTAGAATACAAAACAAAGACAGAAAAACCACCGAAACAGCAAGCCACAAAAGACGGCACAAATACAGAAAACACAAGCTCAACAAAAACATTCTCTAGTTCATTATTCAGCCTTTCTTTAGTACTCACAATCTTTGGACTACTATTCAGATAAAAACAAGGACTGGGTTTATTGTTATTACTGATCTAAAGAATTTGCCAGAATTTATTGTAAAATTTATCGTATTCAGTTTAATTTTGTCAAAAATTGGTGACATTGATAAGGTGATATTTGATTACACAAAATGCACGATTCTTGAGGTGGAATTAATGTTGTTGTTAAAAAATCAGTAAATTGAACATTTTGTAGTATTTTTCAATTGCACTGCATATTTATTTTGTTGATTGTAGAATATGTTTTGAATTTATCCAATGGGTGACTTGTTGTACCACAATTACGAGGAAATATCCCTTTAGTATAGGAAAAACAAGAACTACGTAATACTATAAGTTATTGAATGATTTGAAGTGCAATACAGGATATATTCTGCTCGAGAAATTCCGTATTGGAACGAGACGAAGTCGAGTGCCAATACAGAATATCGAGACAGAATATATCCTGTATTGCACTTCAAATCATTCAATAACGTTTTTATCGTGTGATCCTCTGTATTGCTACTGAGATTGTTCCCACCGTACCAATATTTTCTGTATTGCGACGGAGATGATCAACGGGGACAATCTCAGTAGCAATACAGATTGGTACAGCACACAAACTGACCAATCAGAAGTCTTCATTTTACAGATCATACGATAATATAAGTTATTGAATGGTTTGAAGTGCAATACAGGATATGTTCTGCTCGAGAATTCCGTATTGGAACGAGACGAAGTTGAGTTCCAATACAGAATATCGAGACAGAATATATCCTATATTGCACTTCAAATCATTCAATAACGTTTTTATCGTGTGATCCTCTGTATTGCTACTGAGATTGTCCCCTCCGTACCAATATTTTCTGTATTGCGACGGAGATGATCGACGGAGATGATCGACGGGGACAATCTCAGTAGCAATACAGGTTGGTACAGCACAAGAACTGACCAATCAGAGGGCTTCATTTTACAGATCATACGATAAAATAAGATCTGTCTAGTCTAAACATCACTGGACTAACCAAAAATATTTAAATGAGAAAGTGTTCACATTTCAACATGAGAGTCAATGGGAGATTAAAAGGTTGGAGGGGAGATTAGTTTGGGTGTTTCAACATACAGGTTTTACTGTATTGAATATGATAAGACAACCATGTATAGGGCTCACAGGAAATAAACTATTTTGTTATTGATGGTCATGATTGAATTTGAATTTTTGAAAATATGATATTGGCCTTTGAAAATATCATTTTAACACAAGGCAATCGCCTTGGTCAATATGATATTTTCCTTGGCCAATATATATTTCCCCCGAATAAAATTCATATTCCATCCCTCTCATTAAATAACCTCAATTTCATTTGCACAGATACAGATACAGACCAAGAGCTGGTATTTAACGATACCCAGTTTTTTTATTATTGACCTCTTATCCTTGCTTTAAATTATGTGTACGAACCTCTGAATGTTTGGACCCATGTATTAGCCATTTTTTAAAATTCTGTTCATTTTTCAATAACAAGATCTCAATGCATTAAATCATGTACATATTGCAATTCAATGTTATATGATGTGATTAAAATATTGTAGTAAAAATGAATCGATTGTCTTTCATATTGCTGGTAATAAATTGTAAGTTATTTTACAAGTAGTGAATGTTGATGTCTACGCAGGATGCTAAATTGAGCAATCTTATTGTAAAACCTGTGTATATGGAACACTCTTGAAAGTGTTCCACTTATGAGGTGTTTCATAAATAGAGGAGTTTGAGTCTCGAAACTGAAAAATGTCTAAACAAAGGCGATCCATTTTACAGGTTTTGCTGTACATCTATCATAATGATGAACTGAGGTCATATGTATACCGTCTTGTATACAGCATTTCTTGTTCATTTGAAAGGGGACTCTTTCTAGACGAGATATTTGAAGACTTGAAATATGAAAAATATCAGATACCTAATAATAGATACCTGTAAAGGTTCTTAGAATTATAAATCATGGAGCTTTAAAGACACACCCCACCTTGATTTGAAAATGCTCAGTCAAAAGCAAATCTCTATAAAGTGCCTCAAATTGAAATGATAATCCATTTCATGGACCAATTATGCATTTGTTCATGTTTTGATGGGGTTTGTCTTTGACTTTTCATTTTCTATCATAATACAGCATCTTATGTTTTGAACTGTCAATCATTGTTGGTTTTATGCCTTAAATCTTAATTGCTTGTAATTGATTGAATCACTTTAGAATGTAGTTGTTACTGTACATATGTATATAATACATTGTAATTTTTGTATAAAATGATGTTAAGCTTAACATATTGTGCTATATGCTATATCATACATTGATTATATTAAATAAATCGCTATGAATTTCTTGACTATTTACAAAAAATATGTTTCATGTTTAATAGATTTTGGATTCATTTACCTTGTCTTGATTATAGAAAATATATTAGGTATCATTTACTTTGGATCTCATTTCTTTTATTGATGTTTAAGAAAATGTTTTAACCAAATATCAATAAATATTCTTTACAGCACTCATGTAGTCTAAATCACAATAGTACGCGGAGCATTCAAAAAACATTGAAAGAATTGGGTGACGGGTGAACCCATTTGAAAAAATACACCATTTGGTAATTTTAATCTAAATTATACTGTAAATGTATTTATGAACAGTGGCCTGGGTCCCTCAAAAGAAATTGGAGCACAAAAATGGTTGAGGCCCAAAACTTGCTCTTCCCTACATAAACTTGGCAACAAAAGAAAGAATATGTGTATAACAAGTAAAGCGCAGGTGCCATTGTCTCAATTTATTCAAGATATTCAAAGAAAATCTAAATCTTTGAGATACCATAACATGATTATGCCATGTTATTGAAGTCATTCAAGGAAAGTGTACACCATGGTGTTCTACACATCAAGTACTAAAGCTGTTGAGAACACAATTCAGCATCAAAAGATTTAGGATTTGATTTCCAAACTTCAAACTGTTATCTCCCCGTCTAATCATCACTCTACCCTTATGGGTGACTAGTCAAACAAGCTAGATAATTCAACTCAAGTTTAGAACACCATGTTTTGCTCACTTAGGCCTCGTCAATGGGGCTTGATTTTCACTTGTGGTGGGTATGTTACATGTTAGGACAATCCATAGATGATGAAATAAACATGTTTAGTGAACTAGCTGTAGGGATGAGCCACTGCTGGTCATTATAACATGTTTTGAACTCATCCATAGCATCATATTTCCACGGATTTCTCTCTAAGCTATTTCTCTCATTTCTCGTCAATTTTGAATATGGACAATGTTGTATCTGTTTTTTTTGCTTTATTCACTGCTGAATTCATACTTTTACACTTTTTAAACAATTCAAAATATGGCAATTACAATTACTAATGGTAGTAGATTATTACAGAGATCGCCATGATATTGAATGTATATGGAATCAGTGGAGAATAAATAGACATTTCATGTTTGAAAAACAAAATCGAGAATAGAATGGAATGGAATCTGCAATGAGTAGAATAAACAGAAACAAAATCAATATATGAGATTGTCTAAAAATGCCAGAAAAAAATGGACTCTTCATTCAAGTTGTTTTACGGACAACTCTAAAATGACATTATAACAAGAGCACAAAACTCATCCTCAATTAATTCCCTTAGGCCAATTTCTTAAAACATCAGACAAGTTCTCGATCTGCAAATTGATTCTTCTTTCTCAGATTTACATTTTTGCAAAAGGCAAATCAGTTGCAAACCTGTAACTATGATGTTTCGAGTAACCAAACCCTTGTTCATATCCCTAAAGCAAAAATGTCCTGAGTTTGAAACCATTCAGACAGCAAACATTGTTTAATTGCAAAATAATGTTACTAAGCCTCTTAATACTATATTTATGGTTGTAAAATATTCATAAAAAAAGAAATAAAAACTAAAAAATGAAGTAATATACTTCTAATGTCTCACATTACATCTTGCTGAAAATGTTGAATGAAAAAACATTACATTATGTGTAGGATACTCATAATTTTCATAACTACAAATAAATAAACATCATAACTTAACTATAATTATAATATATTTTATTTATCTTTAATTACTTGGGCATAATTATAAATAACATGCAAATTAACAAATTTAACAAGCTATTGAATAACAAGCAAAATAAGGTGACAGTGAATAGAAATGAAGTCACTCAGATGACACGAAAATTCGTGAGAAAAATCAAAAAATCAATGACCAAAGCGACTTGTGGCAATACAGGAAAGCTGATTTGGCAATAACATATTTCAGTACATAATGCTCCCAAAATGGCTCTATTTGACAGTGTTATGCATGTATTTATGAGCTTATACTGAGAAAAATTAGGAGTCTGTCTAAGCTGTACTTATCGGAAAAAGTTGTGACTTCAAAGTAAATTCCAGTTAATAACAACTCAGGACGCACATTTACTATTCCAATAGCTTACGAGGCATCGTTTGATCCTTGACATCGGCTAACAGGCAGATTTAATTAAGATTTTGACATTATCCCTAGAAAGAATCAACCATATCCGGACATCTCAATATGTTAGCAAATTCAACTGATCCATATTCTAGTTAAACCAATAGTTTTCTCATCCATTTAGGATAATGTCAGTTTAATAAAATGAATTGGATTGAAAGAAAAGGTCAAATGTATGGTTTATGTTTTGAGCCAAAAATCAATGGCTTTTTCATTATTTTATTTTAGATATTCTTAATTCTTGTATCATAGTAAAAGAAATATGTATTCACTTAAATTCCATCACCCCTAAGATTATACATTATATGTATTAATTTGAGTGTTGTGTTGTTTTCCTGTGTAATCATATTGTCCATATTTGTGTCCTGATTATGCAGAAGATATGTTTGCAACAGTATCTTCATGGTGAATGTTGGAGATCGAATAAACACAAACCTCAGCAATAGTGTCATCATGAATCTTTTGACTTGTCTTCTTTTAAAGTTACAGTCCTGTTGAACACCAACTGGAAAACATAAAATATCAAAATATTTTGAATACATAACATCCACAAATTGCTACCTAAAGTGTTGCATTTTTTGCATTTGTATACAATTTAGTATTGAATATTTATTTACTTTTATTTATTTATTTATGTATAAGCCTGTTTATTTCATTCCTTGCAGATTCCCCTCTTTTCCACTCTATTCTGTGTTTCAAAACCTGAGCATGTGACACAGGATCTCAGCCTAAAATTAAGAGATCAAGACCCCCAAAATCAAGATACAGAATCTACTCAAAAAGTTAATAATAACAAGGCACCAAAGTCATAAAAATGCAGCTATATTTTTGTATTTCTAATGCACTTTCTGGTTACATAAGACCCTAAAATCGAGATGCAGAATCTATTCAAAAAGTTAACAAAGCACCAAAGTCATAAAAATGCAGCTACATTTTTGTATTTCTTAATGCACTTTCTGGTTACATAAGACCCTAAAATCGAGATGCAGAATCTACTCAAAAAGTTAACAAAGCACTAAAGTCATAAAAATGCAGCTACATTTTTGAATTTCTTAATGCACTTTCTGGTTACATTATTTTGTAGTAGATTTTTATGTTTGGGTCAGGTAAAGGGTCTGTATTTCTTAATATAAAACAGTATCTGCCAATGCATCACATATTGAACCACCCAGAATGATGGTCTAAAACCAACAAGAAATGTTAAGTTTTGTTTATAATAACATTAATCTGTTAAATGTTCTCAGCACTTAAAACTTGTTAGAAGGTAATACAGGAAAAGTGGAAAAAACAATTATCCAAGTCATATTTCTTGCACTTAAAATAGCTCAGATGTTATCTGGTAAAAATAAGTAAACATTTCCCAATCTGATAGTACTATAGTTTGCACTTAAAATAGTTATTTGAAAGTAGCTCTCCAATTATAAGAGGTTTGAGTATTTCAGTGTTGCCCCTTATATCTAAAATATTCCTAATTGTGTTTAAATGTTGCTCTTTGTGTTTTTAATGTTTTCTTTGGGAATTAAATGCTGCCCCTTGTGTTTTAATATTTCCCTCACTGTGTAACAAATGTTACCCATGTGTTTTAAATATTGCCAATTGTGTTTAAAATGCTGCTCCCTATGTTTTTAATGTTGCCCTTGGAAATTCAATATTGCCTCTTGTGTTTTCCACTTTGAAGGATTCAAGAGAATCAGAAAATTAAATGTTGGAGAAGGCTCAGTTTGAAGAGGATGTTGAAGGTTTTAATGTTTTTATGAGGTAAGAATCTGAACAAAGATAGAAACTATACTACAAAGCAAAACTTCTCCACAGTAATCAATTGAAATCTAGTACAGAACAGAAATGTGTTCTCTTCTACTGAGGGGGAATTTTGCAACAAGAGATTAATTGGACACTAGCTTGGTTCAGATCGAACAACATGCATCTGATTCTTTTTCCAGTGAGATTACAACAAAATATTCTTTTTCCAGAGAGATTACAATAAAATGATATGTCGGTTGACAGAGACCAACTATTTCTGAGTATAAGTCTCGCTGCACATACAAATGATCTTCAATGTGTTTTAGTATGTCTCTGTAAAAACTGAAGTTGATTATGATCTCATAAACGTCACATAAACTACAAAGAAAATGGTGAAGAAAGAATTGCGAAAAACATAAAATCATTTTATGACGTTTATCAATCAGAAAGTGGATACCAGCCTTCAAAATTCCCAATCTAAATTAACAAGTGGGGATTTATGTCAGGAGATTTTTTGATGTGATGGGGGATGGTGTGTTGGGGATGATGCATTGGGGGAGGATGTGTCGGGAGAATGATCACCTCATGTTAAACTTACATATAAAATATTTCCCTCTTGCCTGGTATTCATTCTTCGTTCCAAAATTTGAATGAAGAATTTGATATCTGACATTTTTTACAATTTAGTGTTGAGTACATACAACTTAATTTACTTTATTCCTTGCTGATTTCACCAATTTCCACTGTATTTCCAATTCAAAGCATGTAACACTTTATGTTCATCTGCTCACTGCTATTCTACTCTATTTCTCTCTAAAATTTGAGTGAAATACCTGATTTTCTTGCATTTCTATACAATTTAAAGTATTACCTACATGCCTATTTACTTGATTTCTTGCTAATTCCTTGAATTTCCACTCTATTTTTCAATTCAAAACCATGACATGACAAACCAATGACAGCATTCCCAGGAACACTATTCCCCTGACATCTACAGACATCACTCTACAATATTACACCTATAATCTAAAAGAATATAAGATATCTCGATGTGCTGATAATTTAGATCCTAACCAGAATTGCTGAAAATCAACTAACATTGCCCGATCCAAGGATATGTTCACACCCAGCCACTTTGAAGCTAATAATCTAGATAAAAATGTAATTTAAAGACTTGGAAATTGTCATAAAACATTATATTGTGGCTTAATTTCAGTAGTAGAGTTAGTGATTGTAACAAGAGACATTAATAGGATGTTTTGTATGCTCATAGACAAGAAATACCATAACTCATGAACAAACATCATGTTATGTTTGAAATAAAACGACTGGAAAAGAATATGCAGCAAGAAATTAAGTAGCATGCTTTAATAAAGGCTTAGAGTAAGAAGATTTGCAGATGAAACTCAAATTTAATAAAATGGCAGAATTCATCATTTTCCTTATCAATTGAGAGAGTACAAATAGTTTGAAATCATTGCCCATGTTATAGAAGAAATTAGGCTTTATTATCATTTGGACACACAAAATTCAGGGTGTTTGACAACTCTACAACAAGGCATTAACATGCAAAATGTCACCACTTGCCATTTGTTGCAGACTGACAAAATATTGACTGTCATAAACCGAACACCATCCACAAATAAGCTGGAGCCTATAACGATATGTCACCACTTCCTATGTTGACATAAAAAGGAACTATTTGAGATATCAATGGTCATATATTCTGAAGACGTGAAATATCCTGATGTGAAATAAAAGAGAAAATAATTCTAAATTCATGAAAATTAAGTTCATAAATGAACGTGTTTTACAATGTAGTGTAAATACAGTAATGTGATATGGAGACAATCCGTAATGAAAAAATCTTTTTTCAGTCACGTTTATTATTAGTGAGTCAAATAACATAGCTTTGATACTTTATCATGTAATAATGAAAAAAAGAATCTTGCTTGGCGATGTGATTAAGAGAATCACATTCAATAATCACACAAATGTAACGTCATTGCATTCTTACTAATAGACTATAAGTAATTTCATATCACGACTCTATAACATTTAAGTCAGCTTATTGGCTTATTGGTTAAGAGAAATCACCACAAAACTATAGAAATAACAGCCAAAGATAAAAACCAAACTAAATTCAGAATTCAAGAGAAATCTCTTGAATTGTCCTCGATATTAAATCCTGAGACAATTTTAGGAGTTTCCCAATGTTGCCCTTTGTGCTTCATTGCTACATTCTTGAGAGGCCCCCTTGAAAGGTATATGATCCTCCCAACAAGCGAGTCTCTATTACACAGACAACATTCACCCTAATGAGTGGTGAAACAAGTGTGTTAGACATTGCTTCATATTTTCCTAAATTGGCCATGACGGCTCGGATCATTAGTGAAAAAATATGAACTCTAAAATATATGTTTTGCCTGTTTAAACATCCATTAGTGGGAGATCTGAGCTATGAGCATCTATGTAAAGGTAGGGGATATCAGAATGGCATGTTCAAATTCAGGACAGTCCATGTACAGAAGATACCAAGTCTCAAATAGAGATATGTGGTACGTTTGCATCTCGTGAAAATATCGAGCATATTTGGAATAATAAAGCTTTGATATAAGCTAATGTTAAAATATGTGAAGTTAGATATGGGGGAAGGGTGGATTTGATATAAGCCAATGTGGGTCGATACTTATGTTCAAAGCTGTGGAAGAGATGGGCGAGATTTCACCTAAGATATTATAGGTTAAATAGAAGAAATATGATGGGAGGTGTTCAAAGAGGTAACTGTTTGCTGATCACATTATAAATCACCATGGAGATCTGGAAAGACTCACTCTAAATAGACAACTGTTTGGGCCTCTTCTACATCCCATATTGTGCCCATATACAACAATTATACATCACTACCAATTAGTAAAGAACGGCTGAACATAATGAACAATATATCCCACATGTTCAACATGGAGACTTCAATAAGGCAGTGATTGTTATAAATACAGCATTTGTGTGTGAAACAGGTTATGATGGGTAAACTGTATAGGTTTAGGGGAGAAACATAACGCCATTTGAGTTAGAACATGATAAAATTGAACAAAACGTGCTTATTTTAGAGGGAAATGTCACTTATAGCTTGTTAGGGCTAATTACGCATCAAAAAGAGGCAAGTTCTGCTTGTTAAGTTTTGGTGTTATCATCCCAAAAAAGAACTTATGTTTTCTCAAATGTGCCCTGACATTCTTTACAAAGGATGGAAATACCAACATTTCAAATATTTCATTTTAAGTAAGAGATGGAGTCCCAAAGTTATTATGACAAATTGGGCAATGATCTTAACTGAAGTTAAATTGGACTATGTTTTGAAATTATCTTATAATGTAAACTTTTTTTATCATATAGGTAGCTAACTAGACAATCCATTAACAAAAGCAAGAAATGTACCAAAATAGCCATCTAGTAAAAAACTTTAAAAGTAGAACTTGACAAATAAAGGTAAATATTACAATGTAAATTTCAAGGGAATAAATAAATTTTAAATATGAAAAAATGTATGCGTTCCCTAGTTCATAGTATATTAATTACAAAATAAATAATAAAAATAAAAAAATAACATAAAATATGGGAGAAACAAGAGCACGATACTTGCTCATGGAGACCCCTCGTGAGCACACATAGAAAACAGGTGGACAATGAAAATAGGTTAATGTCACTCAAAGTGTACCTCAACTGAATAATTACCAAAAAAGCCTCAATAGGTAAGTTTCATGTTTGTTTTAGTGCTGTTAATGAAACAATTATTTATCCCTTCTTTTATAGGTTGTTTACTACTGTGCACACTTATTTTATGTACATGTATATAAATAAGATTTAAAGGGCCAATATGCTAAGTGTATTGATGCTTAATAACCATAAAATATCTCAAATTCATATAAAATATGTAACTTACACCATCAAAAGACTGAAATAAACTCTTTTCCAGAATACTTGCTATAATCAAACAATAATTTACAAATTGATTTTGGGATTATCATAGATCAAAATTGCCTGTCAATTTGTTCATTTTTCTATTAATGAAATCCTTCAAAATTATGAAGTTATATGTTTGATCTAAGCTTCACACTATTACACATGTAAAATAATTGAACTAAATTCCAAACTTTAATCCAGTGCTTTTCAATTCAATTTGTTTTTCTCTTAGGAAAACCCTTTCACAGAGACATTCACTTGAGGCATATTTTCATCAAATAAATCATTTTAACACCCCTCAGTAATAAAAACATAAACCATCCTTAGTGTATGCAAATTAAGGTAGCTTGAGTAGAACAAACAATTTTGGACCTTTCATATGTAGCCTTGCATATTGACATCATTTCTTTTACTTCAAACAGAATAACTACATGAAATACATGCAAACTGATGTTAGTTTGTTCTCTTTTGTGAAAAGGTTTATTGTGGTTTGTTAGGGTTGTTTTTTCTATTTCACGGTGACATTATGAAGTATCAGGTCTAAAAGTCCTAACACGTGACCCACCTTAATACATAAATTTAACTAAATCATGTTGGCATTACTAAATAAAATTGACCAAGGGGCTAATGATTAATTCATCCTGTAGTTTTAAAACATCTGTTCCCTGTTTAACAAAATGGTACCATTCAATGGGGTAATATGGCCATTCCTTGTACTAGCTTTGATTTCTCTGAAAAAAGTAGGAGCCCAGACCTATATTGTAAACTACCAGTACATACCCCATAAAATGGATACAAATGTTTTAGATCCGAGACAAGCAAACAAATTCATCGCATGAATGAATAAATGATAAGGTGTAACATAGAATATTCTACAAAGTGTGACTCAATTTCAATCAAAATATGATGCACAACCAATTAACCAGGGGTGGGGTCCCAAAAGTCCGAAAGTTCAGGTCCCCAATATTTATTTCTCATACTTGTGTTGGTAGATAAAAGGGAACTCCTAAAAGGACTTGACACAAAAACTGACCTTTTTTGAAAAAGCAGTAGGTCCCAAGATCCAATGCTGGGTCTGCCAAAAGTAATAAGTTATGTATGAGAAAAAGTATTTATATTTGAGACAGTGACCAACCAATATGGCTTACCTACTTAAAAACAGCTTGAGTTTGAACTAAAAAATGTCTACTTCCAAAATACAATTATATCTTGACGCCACTTTGCCCATTGGTCCACATTACTACGGACAAACAATCAGGTTACTCAGCACTTTGCTGTACTGAATACAAAACAATTTTACGAACTGCCCATTTTCAAGTACATGTTTGACATAGCGAATATTTTTCCTAAATTCACCTATGTTTTTGTTAATTTCTCCACATACCATCATTCACATGTTATCTCTCCATGGCTGCATTTATTTTATTTGACTTTTCGCCATCTATTTTACATAAAATAGTTTTTTAACCTTTTTTGATCACTCACCAGAACTGATGTGCATTGAAAACTGCAACCATTTTCAAAACTATTTTATTTTTAGCTAAGAAACTCCAATTAGCCCATGAGAAAATACAAGGTAGTCACAATTTGAAATGCAATGAAATAGAATAGGAATCATCCAGGAGTAAAGTAAACATGTACTTAACAATCTAATTTTTGGAACACTTTATGACAACAAAATCCAATGCTCTTACCTTTTTATCAGTTGTATCAGGGTCTACGCTGAAGAAACCGTTTCTCTCAAATTGGAACTTATCGTAAACTTTTGCACCTCGTGCTGACGGGTCAATTAAGGCATCTTTCAACACAGTAAGGGAATTCTGGAAAACATGAATTCATTAAATTTTAAAATATTTGTAATGTTTGTGTTGACACTAAAAGGTCATTGGCAAAATCTGTTATTTATACTTATATGGAGGGTAGAACTATTTCCGACTAAGTAGGCCTGTAGCCAGAGTTCGGAGAGTCCTCCTCTTGGCCAAAAAATTCTTTCAAAATCATCCAGTTTTTCACCACTGTCACCTTCTTCTTATTTTTTGGGCCAAAATTGTCAAAAGTGAAACCACTTGGAATTTTGTTTAAAAAGTGAACTCCCCTTGGCAAAAGCTGGCTACAGGCCTGGTACAAGATCAAGTAGTTTGATTCATTTTAGTGATATGTACCAAAATCTTCCTTGATGTAATTGTGCCCTCTTTTGAGCATAAGAACTAATATTTTCATCAATCCTATTTTCTGTAAATGGATACACGAGATCCTAGCACCAAATCTAGTCACCAGTCCAACCTCTGCATTATATTCGGTACTTACAGTATTGCAGTCTGTTACAAAGCCACCAGGAACTTCCTTGGGATCCTCTGGGTTTTTATGTTTAAATCTGCAAAACACAATTCATCATGTAATCAATAGCATTCCCATGGCAGCTGTCAGATTCATCTGAAATTTTCTAGATACAATAGATAATAAACTAAGGCAACATTTTCCATGACAAGACACATCTTAGAAAACTGCATTCAGATGGACAGGGAACAATCTAGCACTAAAATGCCCCCCCCCCCCCCCTATAGACACCGATATCAGTTAAAGACAGTACATGTACTCACAATCGTTCATAAAGCCTAACTTCGCACTGTATAGGATTGGATACCCAGTGAATGAATGCTTTTGGTTTTTCTGTCTCTGAAACCTTCTTCAAAGACACTTCGAGATCTAATATTTTTCCAGCTGCGTTTTTGTTGACCTTAATGACTTTTAAGACATAGCCACTGTGACGTAAACCGACTGGCTGGTCCAAAGTAAGTCGCTTGTAACTTTTATCTGCAGTCTAAAAATCATCGAAATACATATGATTATTCGTAGCTACAATTTTAATACTCAGTGTTTGTTACTCGCTATTTGGAAAATGTAAATCCAGACTGAGATTGAAATACTAAAGTATGTTATTATCCAAGATAAAAATAACTTTACACAAGGCATTAACATGCAAAATGTAATGACCTGCCATTTGTTTCAGACAGCAAACATCGAATAATGACTGCCACCCCACAACAAAAAAAATTGAAGGTGGTGGTGACATAAAAACTAATTAACTCTTTATCTAAAAAAAGTCAATGTTTGGTGGGGCCATATGATGATTGCTTATGCCTCTTCTAACCTTAACACAACATTCAATGAAATATGAATTATCTCACCTCTCTAAAGTCTGACTGTTCAATAAATAGCAGTGTTGAGAAGGGGACTTTGTGAGACCCCTTAGACTCATCAGCAGGAAAGTTAGGAACATCAAGTTGTATTTCACCCTCTGGGAAGTTATTTAGGAGAACACGGAGAGGTTCTAAAACAGCCATAACTCTGCAAACAAAATAGCAGTGTAAGGAAGGGTACTTCGTAAGACCCCTTAGAATATTCAGATTATTAAACACAAAAAGCGTGTTTCAGCTTCTTATTTTTCAATATATCAATTATGTTGTTGAATGATAATATCATACCCCCAAAAATATTCTAGGGGGTGAAAGGCTCAAAATTCTTCACCCACCAACTTGAAAGACCTAAACATATGTATATGTGATGAAGGTGACCTTTCAGAAAATTATGTCTAGCAAGTGGCTTTCTGACTTCTCAAAACCCTTGCTAAAGACAAGTCTAAATCAATCGCTTAAAATATTACAATTTGCTTTTTTCACGATTTGTTCAATGACAACACCCATATGAAAGTATAACTTTCACAATATTTTTGTAATATTTGTCTCATTTTGCAGAAAATTCAACAATTTGGCAAAAAACTGAAAAAAGTGATAAAGACTACTTTCTTTTTCCGAAGGGAACTATTTCTAGTGCAAGTTATTGCTAGCATAACATTTTCCTACCTTGGGGCAGTAACATTCAGCACATCTCTCACACAAGCCTCCAACATGACAGGATCTATGACAACCTGGGCCATAGTAACACCAACCTGAAGTCACAAAATGTTACAGAGTCTACAAGGTTTAATTTCAATTCTACTGAGCTTAATATCTTCACAGATTTTATCAGTAAATAGTCTGAATTCAAAAATAAATATAAACCAAAATTCCCTCATATTTCAGAGTTTTTTAGAAAAAACAATGAATTTTAACTTGAAACTAAAATATGAATTCAATACTGTGCTGATGGAGAATAGAAGAAAGCCCAAAATTACGAATTGCTAAGTTCTATAGCATTTCTCAATAGTCATAACTATAATATGGAAATGCAAGCAAAACCACAAATCTGTCTTCATACATTATTAGTATTTTGAGCTAATGAGCTGGTAAATGTTCTTCTTGACAAAAACCTTTAATAACTTTCTCATCATTTTGGGATTTCTAACAAAATAGTATTGCAGTAAAACCTGAATAGGTGGAAAAATTCTACTTCATGGTACCTTGGCACAGAACATGTTGATGGCCTCCGCTGGAAAACCTCGTCTTCTCAGAGCGGTCAGAGTGAACAAGCGAGGGTCATCCCAATCCCTAGAATAGCAAACATACAGAACAAGAATGAACATGTGGTATATAGCCAGGCCTTTGTCAGCCACAAATTTGTCACAGATTTCACTTTGCAGTCCTTCTTGCCAAACAGAAGAAGTGATTTGAACTTACTATCAGACTCGGATGGCCAGAATTAAAGATTGTTCATTCAGAGTTTGTTTATCAATCTGATTTGGAAACAAATAATATGGACAAAAAAATTATATTTTGAAGACAAAAAAAAAAGGTTTCTCAAAAAGGATGCAAAAGTTGGAGCTGGGGAGCATGAAACTGCGGAAAAAGTTTATGACCCCATGTTCATCCGAACAGCAGTTTTCTTTCGTCCAGAAATTGAAGACGTAAGGAAGGATCAAATCCTGACACATACAGTAGTATGCTGTGTACATATTACATACCTTACTATTCCATTTTGTATTAATTTGCCAATTTTTCGTTTTGACACCACTGTATAGTTGAGGTTAAGGCGGCCATATTCCCACTGTACGGGGCAGTAGAGGTCAAGGACATTGCACAGCCAATAGTAGGATGACCGTCTGTAAAATAGACACAGGTGCAATCTCAGATAAGTACATTTGTAGTTATTTTATGATGCCAATAACGCCATTAGAATACTTTAGGGATCTTCAAGCAGAAAAACGTATGGCTGTACTGTATTATTGATGGATAGAATCATACATTGCTGTTTACTGAAACTTGATTGTTCTGGTTTGGCGTATGTGTCGCATCACAACACATTTTAAGTCACATGACACTCTTTAAACCAATCAGAGTCTGCATAGACGTGACTAAAAAAATCTGAAGAATTGAAAAAACGATGATGGAAACTATATTTTTACATACCTTGCTTGGAATTCTTTAGTACACAAAGAATGTGTGATATTCTCAATAGAATCGCAGAGACAGTGAGTGTAGTCATATGTAGGGTAGATACACCTGAAATAAAATTTGGAGTTTACACTTTTCATATCATGGATTCAAATACAAAATCAAGTAAAACTTATGTAAATAATTCCATGAGACACTTATTAGATTCGATAAGGAGCAAAACATGTTTTGTTCATGTATGAACATGAAAAAAATATGAAGAAATTTTTTGTTGATTAGTTATTCAAATAGCAAAATTAAGCATCACTAAATTCAAAAGTTGGGAATTAGTTTATGCTAAAGAGAAGATTCACTATAATTTACTTAAAACTTCACAATATCTTAAGATTCACTAAACAACAACATTTTTTCAAAATATAACAAAATTCACAAAAAAGCTTCAAAATGGCTTCAAATACATCAAAAAAACTCTAAAAACTCACCATTGGTCTCCTGTCCTGTGATGAGCTGTGAATTTGATCCTATAAGCAACAGGGTCCATCTTACCATCTTCTAGTGTGGTCTTCATACGTAATGTGGCATCTCCTTCATTGATCTTTCCATTCTTCATATCCTATAATGTAAGGGAATATCATTCTGCAAAAATTCTGTCATCAAACTTGAATTCTGCACTATTTGTTCAAAATGAATATTCTGCTGCAATGTAAAACAACAGACAAGGCATTAACATGCAAAATGCCACCACCTGCCATTTGTTTCAAATGCTGACCACCAAATGCCACACCTACAGCCATCCACAAAAAAATTGGGAGACTATAACAATACAAGTGATGACAAAAACTCTGAAGAGTAATATGCACATATTTTACTGCACTACAAATTAGATGGGATTAAATTACCTCAAAGAGTAGCAAAGATTCCTCTGTGGGCCTCTCCCTCCAGGGTGAAGGTGGGGCATTGTAACCCTTAATCTCCTCCCCCTTCTGGTGACACACATAGGCATGGCCCCTCTTAATCAGCTCCACGGCAAGATCATACAACTCTTGGAAGTAGTCAGAGGAATGGGTGATCTTGTAAGGGGTATATCCTGGAAAATACATTTTCACATTTGAGGTTACAACACCTTAAAGGGCACATGATTGATCTCATTTAAAAAAGAAATTCATTTGAGTCCTTCAACCATACAATAAACCTTTCATTTTTTATATAAATATATTAACCTTTGCAAGGGAAGTCAAATCTATCAATTTTTCGATCTTAATATTTGAAATCTTTTTCAATATCATTCCCTGTAAAAACAAACGTTTAGTCAGGAGTTGTGCCAGATAAAGATTGGAGCTGTGAATCAACTTACTAAGACCCTAAATTCCAGTATCTATTTGATTAGTTCAAATAAATTGAAATACGAAAATATTTTCTAATTTATAAACGAGATATACTGAACATATTTTTTGATGAAGTACCTAACCTAATTACAGCAAGAAACATCAATTTGACAATCTTGAAAGTAAATGTCATATAAATATCACACAGTATATTTTATATACTATATTCTATATATTTTACCTAGCCATTCTACCATATCTCTAATTCCAACGAAGAACTTTTCCTCTTCTTTTTCTGGATTTGTGTCATCGTACCTAAGGTAACATTCTCCGCCCTGTGCCTGAAGATTAAACAGAAAATGCATCCAAGAATTGTGTTAAATTGATAACAAGGCATTAACATGCAAAATTTCACTACCTGCCATTTGCTACAGATGCCGAACGCCAAACACCAAATGCTGAACACTGTCCACAAAAAAGTTGGAGACTTTAACAATGTGTCACCACTTATAATAATGTTTCCCAAAACAACAACTTTTTTATCACATAATTTAATCTTATCCTTGTATTTTATATTTTATAAGTAAACCATATGTATACTAAAATGTATTCTCTCATATAAATGAGGCAATAAATATACAATACAATACAATAACAATGGATGACCCAAAAATGCAACCTTTTAATTCTGGAATTACTATCTCAACTCTGGTGGAATCAATAGCTCTATTGAACACTATACACAGGAAAATTCATGAAGATTCTACCATAAGTGAGATTAGAGGGTTGCATTTTTGGATCACCCTGTATAACATAGACTTTTTTGGATACTAACAGAAATTAAATCGTATAGTTTGTCAAATACTATGCTCTTATTATTATTCCAAAAGATTTTTTAAATGTTACAAGCATAAATACCATTAAACATAAATGTAATGTAATTGTAATACCCTTGCATATCCAAAGTTAAAGTTGATTGCCTTTGCGTGACCAATGTGCAAAATACCATTGGGCTCAGGAGGGAATCTTGTGTAGACCTGAAACAAATAGCAAAGTAGCATTGCAATCACTGGAGATCAAAACAACAAGAAACATACATAGTGACCAAAAAATAAATTTACAATTGGTTTGTGAGTCACCCTGTTCAACATAAATTCAACTTCAAATTTTAATTTTCTGAAGAGGTGTATCATTTCTAAATCATTCAAAAAAATAAAACAACTAATAACAAGTGTACACTAATTTTTCTGGTCATGTCTATTTTACTCTTCTTATCTCTAAAATTTGATTGAAGTGTCTGATTTTCTTGCATATCTATACAATTAAGAGTGTTGACTACATGTCTGTTTACTTATTCCTTGTGAATTCCATTCATTTCCACTAATTTTGCATTTGAAAACATGACCGTCATGGCATCTTTTTCATGGGTACATACCCTTCCTTTTACATCTTCCACATGTTTCTTTAACAGCTCCATAGTCTTGGGAGTAATTACATAACCGTCTGTTTTATAATTTTCACCTGCAATAATATAAGACAGTATTTAAAGCTATGTTAAATATATCTTAAAAAGTAATAAAAAATTTTAATTTTAAAAGTTTTAAAGTCTCCAGCAACTCAACAATTCTGGTTTGCATGGTAATGGGCACTGTTTCAAGATGGCTAAATGTCCAAACAGTAACTTCCATGCGATCAGAAAGTATTTCAAGATACACAGGGCATAGCAAATCTCATGTCACCACATGCCATTTCTTACAGACACCGAACACCATCCACCAAATGCCGAACACCATTAGTTGAACAATAGTTGGAAACTATAACAATATGTCACCACTTCTGGTGATGACATAATGACTAGATTTTTTTCATTTTCTTCTATTATCTTACCAACTTTATGGAAGTTGAGGGCAGCACCAGCCAAGTCAGAAAAACTTTTCATCTCTCCATCTTCTCCAACCACTGAAAGCAGAGAAAATAGTTGCGTACTGGGAAAAGGGTTTAGATATTTATGCAAAATTGTAAGAATTATTTATGAATGGTACATCAAATCTGTCAAGCTGGAAGTAGTCGTCAGAGTATAGTATTATAGTAGTATTTTGGGCTATATCATTCATTGTCATGTCTATTTTCTAAAAATCCAAATTCACCTTGAAAGGGAACTATCAAAGGACACCATTAATGGTATTGGTGACTTGGTCCCTCATTAATGTATGACCTCTGATTTAATTTAATGGCAATAAAATCTGCTGACAAAAAAACTTACTTCCATTCATTTCAACAGTCTCTTCATGTTTGGGTTTGACCTCTTTTGGTTTAGTTTCCTTGGGGGCTTTCTGTTTAGCTGGTTTTGTCATGTCTGCTGCAGTCTTGGGACCCAATAGGTCGAGAACCTGTATTAAAACATATGGATTAGGAGTCAGTGACCATTCGGGGTGATAGTTTACCCCCATTGGCCTTTATTTACTCTCTTCTCTTTTATCCAACTCAGACCCTCCCCTTGCTAACTTTCTTTCACGACTACCAGAGTGCTCGAACTCATGAATATGCTTCTATGACAACAACTGAATTGTACATCCATTGTTGTGAACAATAACTTCTGCAACTCCCAGTTGTGACTGAGTCTTAATATTTTCCAGTTAATCTTGAGTCTGAATTGGCCACTAAAATGACACAGTGATATATAAAAGCTTACTCACCTGCATATCTATTTCACTCTTCACAATCTTAGCATCAGCCCATTTCAGTGATTTTCTTGTTTCTCCTGGAATGATCAGAACAAACAGAATTAAACATTATAAAGGTGTGATACCAAGAGGCAACTCAGAAAATATCCCAGATCCAGTATTTATTTTACTAAAATTCCATATTTCAATGGATGGTAATTTTAAATTGTATAGGTATTGGAAAAGAGCTATCAGTTATTCAGTTATTAGAGGAAATAACACCTGGTCTTATTGAGAACCTGGCTACTACAATGCATGTTTTCTGCCTATTAAATAATGATAAAATATAATGTATGTTATCCAGCCATCACACAGCATTTTATCAACTGGGTGTTGTACCACTGAAAGTACATCACACCCTGAACCCCAATTTATGAAATATTAAAAAGGTTGAGAAAAAACTGGAGGGATCACCATTATATCTTACCCATCAAAACACCCATGTTGAAGTGGTATCTTTTCTCTAGAAGTTGTTCCTTGTTTTTCTTGATTACTCCTTCCACCTGAAACAATTATAAAATCCACGAGACACCATATATTTTTGGGAGTATTTTGTTGGACTGTGTCAGGGTGTAAAAGACAGTGGTACATGTATAATAGAAAGAGATTTCCGGAAGTTCTATCTCCATTATTTTTAAGCTGACTTATACAGCCCTGAAAATGATGACATTTGACAAAAAATCAGCATTCCAGACTGGAAGGAATTAAGAGAGTAGAGTCAAGAATGGCCTCTCATAGTCTTTGCTTCAAAATCAAAGGCTGGGGATACAGGTATATTATTTACTTACCACAGTTTCTACCTGCTCAGGTGTGATAACGACCCCCACACCAGAGCTAGCTTCAAAGGCTGTAGTGTTCACAGCTTCATTGGGATTCTCCAACAGGTATTCCATAGCAGCTAGAAAAAAACATCAACAAGAGAGGATTAAAAACCTGATCATTTGTGCACTCGCATAGTAAATGAGCTGTGAATATGTGAATACTCTATTTCAATCAGTCTTCAAGACTATAGACCCTCCCCACCCCATTATCTACTTGACCAACACATGGGGAGGCATGTAGTGGGGGTAGGGGCTCACAAGTGCTTGTAGCTGGGCTATATTTTAATTAATTTTTAAATTCCTTCTTATTGGTAAATTGATAATTTTGCACCAAATGGAGTGAATTTTGGCAGTTTATGGCATCAATTTCCTCTAGCCTGATTTTCTGTCCTTGTGTGGAATTGCAAAATTAAGAGACAATATAAAAGGGCAGCCTCAAAATGAGTCAACTTAATCTCACTTCAAATAATTCAGGGAATCTCTATTTTCAGGGGTTTCATTAGCAGCAGGCAACAGGCAATTTTCACTGGTTGTTTTCACAAAATTGCCTGTTGTTTTTAGAGTCTTTTCAACTTTTCTATGATTTCCAATAATTTTGCCGGTTGTTTTCATTTATCTTGCCTGTTGTGAGAAATTCTAGTGAAACCCCTAATTTTTCTTTTCAAAAGAATTTTTCAATAAAGAAAAAAGCTCAACACCATTGAGGGAATAAACTTGATGAAATAAATGATCTTACCATTAAGTTGAACCTCAGAGTTGATCTTCTTGTTTGCCACATACTTTACAAGAAGTGACTTATGCTGTTTGATTTGATTCTTGAGTCTTGTTGAGATGTTATACAGTAGTGTACCAACTGATTTGTCCACTTCACCCCCACAATGGCTTTTGGCCTGAAAGTATTGAGGGATGTATGCAGTCAGCCGCTAAACAGTGATGGAATTTACTTCCTGCAAAAGCTATGTGGATTTTGATATAATAGCTTTCCCACAGCGCACTTGGACAGCTGAATAATAATGACCTTTAAAACATGGATAAAGATTTCGGCGGCTAACTTTTGGTCTCTAACTGTGTCTTACATCAGTATCAGAAAACGATATTGAAATTTGGCAGTAAAAACAATCACTCGACTAACAATTACAAGTCTTGATCGAAAAGGAAGTACTTCAGCGCTCCAATACTTGCATTGAAGGATGATAATGATGTATGACACAGTTAGTGAATAAAAGTAAGCCGCTGATCGACTTAATTCATGTTTCAAAGGTCACTATTATTCAGCTGTCAATTTCTCCGTTTGAGAGCCATAAGTTTCAAAATCTAACATGGCTCTCGAAGTGAGTAAGATGGAATATATATGTAAAATATACAGTAAAACCTGTAAACTGGAACATCTCCGTAGGTAACACTACTAGACGAGTAGGAATTCAGAAATAAATGGGAGTTTAATATATTTTTGACCCCCACCGAAATTTGGTATCATTGGAAAGCCCCAATACCATACTTTAGGAATTCGAGGAAAAATAAAGTTTTCACTCGGGCCGTTGCTATGGAAACGGGCGTTATAAATAACAACCATTTTTAACAAGCATTAATAAGCAAAAACATGTATTTGCATGTATCTTTTTTACTATTCATCAGATAATTATGATATGGGTATCAAATGAAAGCTTACAATGCCAAGTACTACTGTAAGTAGTACACATTTCAAAGATTGGCGCCTTACTGAAAGATTTCACCCAGTACCAAGGAGGATTGGCTCCCAGAATGCAACACCGATATTCTGCAAAACAATCACCTAGCGATAGCTTTGTTGGAGAGTATCGGGTCATTCTCCATGCAGTCGTACAAATTATACAGACACGAATAGCAAATGACGCATGCGTGGAGATTAAAGAATATCGAGTTGGAACCCTGGCTTCCAATCCTCCTTGACCCAGTACCGTTCAATCAAATTACTTCCACCGAGTAGACTACTGTTGTGCCTTGAGTCTTGTTGAGATGTTATTGTGTACCACCAATACAGATCATTGTTCGGACATTGGAGAAATGGAACAGCAAATTATATGACCCCTTCTAACAGAGCTGAATGGGAAAATAATTTCTTACTGTTGCATCATGTATTTCAATATAACATGAAAAACACAAAATTATTTAAAACTTTTTTGAACATGTGTTGTAAAGAAAGTTGAAATTCACACTAACCCTTATTCATAAACATGTAATTTTTTGTCATTACGTACCTCATCAATAGTGTTCTTCAGATTCTGTGCCAGTGTTTCATTTTTTGCAGTTTCTTTAGCTTTCTGTTCACTTAAACCGATGCCGGTAAAAAGTTGAATAAAGTCTGCCATCTTGAAAGAGACCTCTTAGCATAGAAATCTGGGAAAGTATCAACATTACTTACATTTGATCTCTCTTACGCAACAGATCAAAATGTTTACGTAAATTAATACAACAAAGCATAAAAAACTGTGAATACATATTAAATACATCTGTTTTCGGATGGGAATAATATTATGATAGCAAGAAAGTATACATAAAATGACTTAATAGTACAAGGAGTCTGAAACAAGTGCTCAAAACTAAGTATAGATGGCAGATTTGTTTAAACTTTGCATCCAGAATGTTTATAGTTCAACAGTGATATAAAGATGTCGCTTGACTATCTCTCCTTTGCCAGCGTTTATTATGTGTGTTCGCATTTACAAAAAGTTTAAAATATATTATGGGGAAATGTCATTTCAACATTTTAACTATAAAATTCTTATTTCATATCCACATAAATTGAGAAAAATAACAACTAGCTTATTTCATTAATAATTTGATATTTTAATCATGAAAATCAGATAAAATACTCATCATACGGGATTTTAGATTATGCCAGATAAATCGTTTTTTAATTTGCTTTCAGATTAATACATGTTTCAAACTTCAGAAAGTTCTTACTTCAGTATTATATTGCATTGCATTGCATTGCATTGCATTGCATTGTATTGTATCCTTTATTACCAATGCACATTATTTCTAGTAAAGGCCCATGATAACGCAAATAACCAGAAACCATAAGGATGGAACACACACAGCAAAGAACACTTCGGTAATGCTCATTAATCATTATGTAACAAAAAATTCAAAATATGTATTTGTGAAATAACTGACTTTATTTTATCTAAAAATACAAATTATGCATTATGGAATTGATCCAAGGCTTTATTAGGCTACTAATCAGTTACTTCTAATCAATTGATGAATTTTAAAAATGACCATCTCAGAAACACGTGAGGGAGTATCACGATGATTGTTGTCCTCAGATGATAGAAACTGAAGATGAACTCTCAATAGCCTCTCTTTCACTCAATCCTGCGCTGAATGACCAATCATTGATACTTTTCGCGCGAAAACCCTAATTGATGAGCCTTCGCGGGTAATGTGATAGATATGCCATTATGAGGGTCGTGTCCCGACGACCTTAGAGTGACCAACTGAGGGCACGGCGAGGTTAGTTTCTCTACCGGACTACTTGTTTTGTGCAACTGTAGGATCGATTACCCTCACTTGACCAATAGGGCTCGTGAGGATACAGTTGCCGTGGCATTTCATACAACTGGCCGTCTGCGTTCTTTTTTCAGATGGGGATTCAGCGTGTTTGCGCACAGTGATCATCTGCATAGGGGTAGCAGCTGGAATGACATTCTCTTGTAATTGATTGAGTGATGAGTTTTTAACTATTGACTGTAGGGTACCTGGGGTTGGATGACCATTTGAATTGTTGTTTTTTTTGTTTGATCATAATCAATTAAACCTATTAAAAAATTACATTGATTTTAGTTCACCCCTCCCCTCAAGGCCAATAACTTTTAAAATCCAACTGATACAACAGTCAAGATTAAAAGGCCAAAATTAGGATTTTGAATGATTATAATTAAACTGACCATTTGATAATTTAATTGTAAATCAAACGACACAACGCGGACAAATTGGATTATTTTACTGGGATTTTTAGGGAAGTGAATTGAAGGGAAGAGGCATAGCCCAAAAATGATAAGACAAGCCTTTATCGAACCAGATTACACATAACCAGATCACAAAAATCGTGACTGACATTGTGGCAGACGAAGCTTAAACAGAGTTCACAAAGCCCCTGGAAATTTGTTAAACTGATAGATGGATACTAAATATCTTATTGTCCACGAGTCCAATTATCCAGCATTTATAGCAGCTGTAATTATACAGTTCCCATTCATTAGGCCTATGCCCAGTTCGATGATGTCACAAGTTCACGGAGGTCAGTGTGAGGGGGTCATGTGACCTCGGGGTCATACACTGTGTCACCCTAGTCGAGGACCCCATGAGGATTAATTAGCAATACTTCGTATCAATTAGTTCTCATCACCGGATTATGGTAATCCAAGCTATCTGTCTAACGTGACATCCCGGAATCACAAGTCTTGCATTCACTTGCCATGTCGTTACGCAGCATCACATGGCCCTAGTAAATTATAGTATTTCCTGTTTCTTTTCTGGCTAGAATTTCCGAAGAATGCTCGAATAAAATTATTTAAGAAATATTTCGATAAATCTGATGTGTCAAAGAATTAGACAGTTATAAACAAAAATATCCTGGTCTATTCTAATTTATTGCACAAAATACATCGCAATTCCGCAATTGCTTCCTATATTGCTAGGATAAAGAGAAGAAACGTTGCGAAATTGAAATAATCCTTGGGAATCAAAGAAAATAATATTTACTATAGTATTCCACGCTGTCCAATACCCAAAGTTTGACCTCTTGATAACCTGATAACCCAATACTAGAAATTATAATGGGATGGGAAATGGCTCTTTGTAAGTTTCCCGCCAAAAATGGAGAGGTAGACGCACATTGGTCATTTTGTTAATACTATGGAATGTCATTATCTTGGGGTTTCTTTACATCGTCTGCCCATGATAGGTCAATGACCACATACCCCCAAGATACCGATAATATGGATGCTCTTCAAAAATGCTAGATTTTAAATTTTATTAATAAAAACCAGGAAATCAAATAAGCCTAGTTATTTCGAAAGAAGGGTGATTCACTTGTTTTTCAAAGTCGAATCTTGTAAACATGGAAACTGGTTGTATTCGTAGTAATCTGAAACAAAAATTAAAACAAATGTCACTCTGAAGGTGACAGGGACAAACAAGCTAGAATAGCTTTACATAGTTCAATTAATTATGAAAATTTGTACGAACGCGTCGGGAGGATAGATGCTCCTATGGGTCATTCACACTGAAGTATCGATTCCTCGAGCGTTGAAATCTGCGGTTAATCTGTTTGTCGAGACGTAATAATGACGAGAAAGTTTGTTTATCCGAGGAAAAAAGCTATTACTGTTTTAATTTTCTCCATAAAGCTGATTTACATTACAAAAAGGTTAAAAACCTTAGCAGAGTCTGAAACGGACGACGCAATCACACGCACATCCGGGACGCACACGGGGACGGGGACTGAAATCTTATGAATCAAGATGTCAATGTTAGGCGACTGTGGGTTCAACAAAATTAACTTGATAATGCAATAAACCAGACGATTCAAGATGTACGGCGACCTCCACCCCCACCAATACATGTTTTAGTTTACATCCAGGCCGTAGTGAGTCGTGGTCTCCACCGCCCCCTCCCCCTAAAACCTGACCTAGGGTAACTAGATGAAACATCGTGTTCTCTCGGATTGAATTCTCGATTCGTTCGGATAGTCTTGCATGCTTGAAGCACAAGTGTGAAGACGCCCCAACTATCGGCTGTCGGCTACCGGAATGGGATTAACCTATTATTTTATGACCAACTCGTTTAAATATGAATGGAATAGTGACAGGTACTATTTATATTTAAATGAGTTGTCCATAAATTAGAAGGTTAATCCGGTAGCCGACAGCCGAAAGTTGCATTTGCGAATACAAGCTTGGTCATGACGCAGTACTACTCAAAATGGACATTCGTTATCTTGGCATGTTCATTTATTCTCCAAATGTTGCATACATATAGTCTGTCAGAATATATCTAACAACAATAATATTCAGATCGTGAATGGTCAGGTTTCTGATCATTAAAATAGATTTTCTATTATTGTCAGATAGATTATCATGCACGATTTATTAATAAAATTGGCCATAAACTGAAAGTACTCAGTAAGTTTATTGTTCTATCGTCACGATCGTTTTGCACATCATCATGCGGTTTTGAATTGATTGTGATTTGCTCAGAAATTGATGATACGTGGTTACTGTATCTCATAATCACCACCATGGACGTCATCCGAGATGCTATTTTTGGACTCGTGGTGAAAACTATAGCGATAAACGATCTATGAGGACCTCAATCAGAGCATGTGCATCGTATGTGATTATATAGCTAAATGCATGATTGCCCTAGTATCATGGTCCATGGTTTTACTATCTCTGTCCCATCTCTTATAAATTTCCTCAGCCTGAGAGAAATGTTGCTGGATGGGTCACTCTCTACGTATTCACCAAGTTCATGGTTGGAATTGCGAGTTGCGAATCCGATGCTTTGTAAGATGTCAAAGATTTATTTTTTGGAACTGGGTTCATCCCAGGTTTAGGAACAGCATATCTAACGTGTACAAAAGCAATTTCATTTCAACATTAGTGAAGATATTCGGCATCTTCGGCTCCCGTCGGTCGCAGACTAGGATGATAGTGACAAAATGAAGCCCCGGCGTGGGAAGGTGGATTTTCGCGTCATTAGAGTTACACTCCCCTCCATAAGTTTGGCAAACTTTTGCTCCCCCATTGAACTACGTGTTAAAGCCTCTTTACCTTTAGTCTTGCTTAAAAGACCCTGTACCCCCCCCCTTATCCTTATCTCTTTTATTTTTACTTAACCTGCGATGAAAATACTTATACTATTGATGGAATTGAAACGTAATTTGACTTTATTTTCAATACCTCCAAATTTTCTAAATTTTTTTCCTCAATTACAATAGGTCTAAAATTGATGATAAATTTGGTGAATTTTTGAAAATCGACATTTCCATGTTAACCAACCATAATCAATTTCTCATCTTCGACTTCCAAGGTGTTAAACAATATTAAGTTAGAGCAACTGAAACCTTGTGAATGAAGATGTAAATTCATGTTAAGCTCGTTTCCTTACCGGGCTTCCTTACTACAAGGCATCCAGTCTTTAATGTCAATGACCGAACATAACATAGCGTACACTGCCCTACAAAATGTTAGCAACATCAACTAACCGACTGGGCCACGTAATAGTGTTTAGTGATTTGAAAAATCTTTTTTTAGATTTTCGACCTATATCATAAAAAAGAAAAATCCTAAGTCCTAACAAAGGAGCACGAG